CGATCGGGTGTCGGCCAGTTTAAGACCCATTACACACTTCTGTGGACTGAAACCTTAGAGCACCACAGATCACTATAAATCACTGGACACACACACACACACACACACACACACACACACACACACACACGTTTCCTTCTCACAAACACAGATTTCACAAAAAACAAACTACAGAATCATCCACATAGATTCTCAGTCTGATGTTTTCCTTAAAGATAGCGTGACGGGCAGGAGGACACTGGAGCTGCAGAATTACCTCAAGATCTACTTTCTTTACTCGGGAGTTTAATCACTTCAAATACGTGAAGATGGTTCCTAAAGTGCAGCAGTAACACCGAGAAGAACTCACTGCCTCCTTAGTTCCACAAACACACACTCGTCGTTTAGAATCTGCTGATAAGAATCCACGTCTTGACGCTGGAGACATTAATTGTGAACTGAACCTTAAAAAACACGGTGTCACCAACCAGCACTGTTCAACTTAATGCAGACTGTCTCTGACGAACAGGAGACACAACCGCTCTTGATTCCCTCATGAAACAGAAGCATGAAGTATTTTTTAAAGTCCAATCTGAGTGTGTAAAATATCCGCTCCACCCTAAACTGTAACTTTCAGGCTCTCTGTGAAAACGATCCGGCACTAAACAAACACTGGAAGATGATCCACCTAAAAAAATCATCTTTAGTTTAAGTGTACGTTTAGACTTCATTGACAAAAAAACAGACTTCCCAGATGTTGCCTGATGTGCTCACTGGAGAGTTTAAACTTTAATCTGAATCATTCGTCGACTCATCCGCTCCCCGTGGTTCCGTAAAGGTCGGCGGGCGTTTACCTGACTCGTGGTCCCGTATGCAGTAGTCCGGCGAGTCCTCCGAGTACACCAGGTCGTTCTTGCTGGGCCGTTTGAAGTGCGCGTGCGCGGCGGTGAACCCGGTGCCGTACTGGTTGACGGCCACCTGCACGGCGCCGTTGTACCTCTTGCGGAGGTGGTCGCCGGTGCGTCTGAAGTCGGCCATGGCGAGCCAGCAGGTCCGCACGCTGCACGACCCGCTGACGCCGTGACATTTACACTCCAGAGTCATGAAGCGCTTCACCGCCTGGAGAGGAGAGGGAACAGGAAGAGACGTTAAGAGAAGATTGTTTGGTGATGAACTCCAACAGGAACTCAACTTTCTCCTCATTCAAAACAAAGTAGCTCAGTTTTGGATCAAAGATTGGTTTCTTGCTGCAGGTGTTTTAGATGACGAGTGCCTCCTCACCTTCCTGCCGGCTCGGTTGTTGTGCAGGTTCATGAGCGCCCGGGCGTCCCTCTCCTTCCTCTCCTTGGCGTCCACGAAGCCCTGGCTGAAGCGCATGGCGTGCTCCACGTGGTCGCTGCAGCCGCCCCAGTCAAACGAGCCCTTGGCGTCCCGGGACGAGCCCTTCTTCTTGGGGTCGCAGGAGCAGGAGTCCAGCTCGCCTTGGCTGCAGGCGCGCGCCAACGTGTAAACCACGCCGGCCGAGGAGATGGCGTACATGAAGGCCACCTCGCGGCTGCCTGAAGGGGAGACGACGCAACGTGTGTGAAGAAGGAAGCAAGAAAAGGCAAGTCTAGATTTCATGCACAGAAGAAGGTGATTTATTTGAAACACATTTTGCATTAATGATAAAAGAGCAAAGTTATAAAAAATCATTTGTGTCGTTAGGAAGTCAAGTTTCAAGCAAATCAGATCAGATAGTTTACCAGTTAAAGACTCGCTTGCTTTGGCAAAGTTCTCGTAAAGCTGCTGTTGTCAAAACTAATCTACCATTTGACAGTTTTGGCATCAGAGTAGAAACTCAAGGTATCGTATCAGCACAAGTATTAAATAACTACAACACACACACACACACACACACACATGCAGTGATCTCACTGTCTCAGTGAGCTTAGTTGAGCGAGGCTAACGAGGTTAACGAGGTTAACGAGGAGAACGCTGAGAGAACACGACACCAGAGAGGAAAACTTTAAAAACCTGTGTAATTGTTTGAAATTAGCCGGCTGACATTGACAGTAAGGAGCTTCTGACGGGGGCCTCGGTGCGCCGCCATAATGCTGTGTGACACGGCCGGGCCCGGCTGGGAGGTCCGAATACCACACGGCTGATTAGAGCCCCCCCCCCCCCACATGAAACGGACTAAGTCGAAGGATCCGCCTCGCGGGTTAAATCTCAGGGCATGGGAGAGGAACATCAGGCCGCCGCATCCTGATGATCCTCCACTGGCAATAAAAACATAAAAGATTATGTTTTAGTGGCAAACATCTGTCACAGGCTGCTTAATAATGTAGATCCTTGATGCTGCCGAGTCATTACTGTCGTCGTCACACTCTTCATATAACATCTATTCTCAACTACACACACTCCCCCAGAAAATACATGTTGAGCGTCGTCTGTTGCTCAATCAGTCTCTTCTTCTGCAGAGAAGACAAACAGTGCTAGAGACCCGACGTGGATCTTCAAAGTGGTGGGAATAAAAAAACCTAAATGACTATTTATCATTTCAACGAGCTGAGTGGAGAGTAATTAGACACCCGAGACCGTATTTGAAGTGGATCGAACGTAAACAATTATTGTCATTACTGAATAATCTGTGGATTCTTTTTTCAATTTTCATCTATAAAATCTAAGAAAATAGGGAAAAAAGTCCTAAAGATTGTTTGTTTTGTACGACGAACAATCGAAAACCCAAAGACATGAAATAAAAGTAAAGGAGTTGAAACAGTTCAGTGTTTTTACTTCTGATGGTATTCATACAGTATTCTTGCTTGATAAATGACTTGCTTTGCTCCATAAATCAATTATCAAAACTGTTGCTAATTCTGGTAAATTTAATAAAGATTAAATAAAAACACAAAGTACAAGTTAAGTGATCTTTAACTGCAACTACAAATCTTTTCCCATTGTTTCAGAAGAGTGATTTTTAACTGGGGCTGACAATATTATATCTGTAATCTGACAAGATGAATTCAGCATTGATACCGTTACTGTATGTACTGTTATGAAATACAAATACTACTAAAATGTGTTGCCCTTCTGCTCAAACTTGGTAACATAAGTATCACTTGTGGAGTATAAATAAGACTAAAAGAAAGAAAGAAAAGTGTTCCAGATACATCTTTCTTCCACCAACAAGTCTTTTTAGCACTAAATCTGAGTACCAGACGTCATAATATTACTACAACAAAGTACTGAGGAGCATGCCCCCCCACCCTACACATGAGATCAGACTAACGGAGAAACCAGTCGGCTGCACCGACGTGATAAATGTACAGATGTAAAGTGAGACGAGGTGTGGAATGCGATCCAACCAACCTTCTGTGGAGAGAAAGAAAAGGAGGAAATCCTCGGTGTCACAGTAAATCAACACTTTAAAAAAACCAACCGGTTGTTTAAGTTTGTCGGCGTTTAATTGAGACAACATGTTTGTTGCTGTTCACAGATCAGTGTGCTGTAACACAATCCAGCAGATACTGGTGCAGACAATCCAACTTTATGTTCCTGGTCCTGTTTGAGTTCCCTGAACTCATCATGTCATGACTGCATCTTATTCACTTCACTGCTGAGAGCTGAGCAATACGGCCTAACGTTATGTCTCTAAAAAGATCCAGATATATACTGATACGCTGATTATTTATGTACTTAAGTAGTCATATGTTACGAAGTCAAATAATTGTTGTTTTCCTACAACAAAGTCTTGTAAGTTTTAAAGACAACGGTTCATGTGAAAAGTCCAGCAACATGTGTCAACTCCCTGCTCGTTAGATGGATCCAGTATTTTCAAAATAAACTTCCGTCTTCACAGGAAACAACTTGGCAACAAAACTACTTGGTTAGGTCTAGGACGGACATGAAGTAACTGAACTTTAACAGCTTACAGAAAAATAAACTGATTGATGTGACGCTCAATTTAAATCCCTCAAAACCTGTTTAAACGTTCTCTTCCCCCTGAGGCTCAGTGACTTGCTCAAGGACACTTCAGCAGGCAGGGTGAACATGGGGGTTTATGTTCAGTCAGTCTCTCCCTGCTGTTCTAAATCTTAAAGATATTTTAAAACCTCATTTAGCATAAGATGCTTTTTAAAGGCTAAAGTAAAGTCAGTCTCCTCCTCCACTCACTGCGCAGCAGCAGGCGTCCGAACAGGTTGTGGTCTCTGGCCGTGGTGTTGCAGTTCCAGCGGTGGTTGCGGAATTGGTGCTGGCACTCGGAGATCCAGTCCTTCATCCCGGCGCCGATGGCCTGCATCACCTTGGGGTGCTGGCGGCACAGCTGGCGCTGCTTGTTCACCAGACCGGGAATGTTGTCGCACATCACCTGGGAGCCCAGCGTGCCCATGTACCTGCAGACGGACAGAGAGAGTCGGACGTGTGAACATCTGGGGGAAGACTTTTTAAAGTATTGATCAAAGAAGGGAAAGTGTGAGATGGGGGGGGGACACAATGTTAGAACACAATCTGAGTTCTCTCAATTATCTAAAAGACAGAACTTCAAGAACATGTTGAATAAAGAAGACAGTCAGAAATAGTAAAAAGATAACGAAGTGACGAAACAAAAAGGTGTCTTCTTGAGCAGCTTTGTGTTGAAATCACTCCTAACAAGTCCACACTCCCATGTACCTGCAGAACAAGGTGACGACAGACATGCAGGGAATTTGAACACTCGCAGGCTGGAGAAAGACCAGAGAGCAGCCAGAGAGAAAGAAATTAAGGAAACGTATCTGTGCAAACAGCCTCTCGGTATCACAGGCGCTGTGAAGTTTGGAAAAATGGAAACAGAACCTTTGCGAAAAAACGAAGTCAGCAAATAAAGAGAAATCAAATCAAATGACTTCATCCTGTAAACGGATCTGTCCAAATATTCAGACTCAAACGTCAAGTCATGAAAATCAATTCACCCAATCAAGACTTTAAGGCCTACATATTAAAAATATAATAATCACAAAGAGGAGAGAAACAATACAAATCCCATTTTATTCATTTAAACAACGTTTAACCGCATTTTGCGCTAAAACGTGTCAGTAAGAAAGCCATGCATGCAGCGCGTGGGCTTTTGCAGGTTGCATTGAAGACGTAATAATAAAGAAAAACTCACGGTACTCACCACCAGGACGCATCGACCTCGGCCGTCATCCAGCAGACTGCTACAGATAAATAAAAACATATTCCACTCGGCAATAAGTTCATATTAACCAAACGTCGGTCCTTTTATGGATCAGGACGGAGCATCCCCACGAATGAAAGACAGAAATATAAAACATTAGGAGAAGTCACAACTTGTTGAATCTCCGAAGAAAAAGAAAAAAAATCAAGCTTGGATAAAAAAATGTATCATCACACAGTCGGAGGACGGAGGTCTGCGCGTAAAAGCCATGACTCGGTTGCGCGCCGGCGAGGGGAAAAAAAGGAAAAAGGAAAGTGAAGCTCTTAATAGTCTGGCAAATATTTTCAGTGGAGATGATGGGCTATCAGGTTTAAATTGCTTTACACGAGGGGTGGGCAGAGTCCCGTCTCAGGAATGAGGTGAAGAAATGAAATGTCTGAGAGTATCTGTTCAGGCTGGTTTGACACCAGACAGGCTTTGGCCCGCGTCCAGACCGGAGCTCCGCCGCGCCGCTGAGATGCGGTCCACGCGGGATGGGGGCGCTTCACTCAAACTGCACCGACGCGTTCAGGGGAGAGGAGCACGTTCTCAGCCAATGTCAGTCAGGCAGCAAACAAAAAAGCGCGCATATCAGCGTAGATGGTGACAGAATGGAGCCGAAAGACGACGCTTTTACGCACAATAAATCTCATCTTTTTAAGAACATACTTTTATATGAATTATGAATAATTTGTCATCAACCTATACACCTACATCTCATAATCACTTCTTCCTAAACACAGTTTGTGGGCCTTCAAGTATCTTGTTTCTTATTATATTCGGTCACGTATTTTTGCGCATTGAGGCCTAAAAACAAAAAGTGGACTTCCTTGGTTGCCATAACCAACTGACGCACAAGTGCCAAATATTTTTGATCTCCAAAGCATGACGCATTGTTATTTTACAGCCTTATACAAACCATCACTCGATCGGACTAATAACTCAGGAATGATGGTTAAAAAAAAAGGAACATGGAAATCACACACCGGTTCTCCCAAAGCAGCGCCTAAAGGTGATGTGTCCGTTTCAATTGGATTATCTCCCGCAGTCTTTTTGAAGTCTGCACCACTGTCACACGGCATTTTCTGCATCTTTGATCTGGCCCTGGTGGATCTGGAGGTCCAGGAGACCCTGACCACATGAGATTAATGGGCAAATTGGATTTTCTTTTTCTCCCTGTGATCCCCGTGGAAGAAAACCATAAAACAAGTAGATTCAGGAGTTCTCTCTTTCTGCTCTTCTCAGCCCATTGAACTCGACTTTGTTGTTGCAGCAGCAGCAGCAGTTGTAATAAGTCCGTAATAGAAATCAAATGTAATTGGAGTAATTTGTGCACTTCTGGACCAAATCCCTTTACAGCAGATCACTGTGTTCCACTCCTTATTTAATGAAGAGAAATAATATTTCACTTCACTGTGAAGTCAGGTCATGAAGACACTGACTAACTAAATGAAGTATGAAGCAGTAAGTCACCTGAGCCAGATGCTCTTTGAGGATTAAGACGACTCACAATCAATCAAGAGTTTATTTTTCTGGGTTTTGTTTGTCTATAAATTAAGTTCTATTTGATTTTGCAGGCACTGAAAACATCTTAAATTGCAAGAAATTAGAAACTTTAATATTCGCTTAAACCCTTAAAACATAAAAAGTATTCTGAACTAAACTCAAAGACAAGACGGACGAAAAGTTTTACAGCAGCAGAAATAAAAAGTGCCGTCTTCTCAAACTTCGTCCTAAAACATATCAGTTCTTCCATAATCCAATATATCATCAATAACAAAATATTCTGATGATTTTATCAAACTAACTGATTAACACGAGTTCCTGCACATCGGCAGGTTAACCTTCCCGCTGGCTGCTTTGCAGAGGAGCAGGAAGAAAGTGGCTCCGAGCGCGCTCAGTGCGACTCCGGTCAGAGTCAACCGCGTCCTCCGGTTGCGGGAACCAGGTTGAGGAAGCTGGCAGCAATCTCTGGCCTGGTCCATCTAAGGGAGGAGGAGGAGGAAGAGGAAGAGGAGGAGAGGTTCACATGAGAAACGCATACAGAGTCCTGCGGTCAGAGTGAGGTGGCCCTCATGCAGGAAGTAGAAGGGGTCATTCAAACCTAATCCAGTCTGGATTATGACAGTTAACTGGTCAGACTGGGTGGGAAATTTCAGCTCAGTTAGTGTTGTGGTGGGAATCACACGGGCATGTCTGGTCCCGTCGCACCACCACAGAAAAACCTGAGTCACCCAAACTTCCTGTGCCAAATCCTCAAGGATTCATCGAGCCGGGTCTCGGTCTCTCACGAGAGAACGTTTGACGAGTTCAGCTTCCAGTAAACATGACTCGGGGAAATTCAGACTTCCTGAATTCACCAACAAGGCTGTTCTTGTGGTAAATGCTAGGAAAGGCGTTATTCCCACGGCACATGAACGCAGCATGGATACCAAATCAAAAAACGATATTCTTTTAATCTTTAATCCGCTGAAGCGTCGCTGGAAGTAGATGCATTTAGCATTACGGATGCTCCGACACGCTTGGAAAGGGAGACGTGAGCAGACGGGCGTTCAGTCGGATGCAATCTGCTACCTCACCACTAGATGCCACTAAATGCTCTATAAGCAGCTTATAATATATAATCAAAATGCCAAGAGTTGTTTTCTATCACAAGAAATACATCATTTATTCCATGTCATTTCAATAGTGTGCTTTTTATACAAATAACCACTTTAGATGACAATAACAAAGTAAAGAGTTTAATCTTTAGACATATTTCGACAGTTAACTTGGGAAAGTATTTTTCAGGATGAAAATCTGATATATTTTAATTGGCCAAGAAAATAGCAACAAGTGCGTCTCTCATTCTGTCATGTTTCACTCCTCCATGAATGCACATCCAATATTGAAATGTGTGTTTATGGTCCTCGGGCTGAGAGCCAGTGGGTCCAAATGTGCTCCGTTGGCCGTCAGATTCTTGTCTGACACAACCGAGGGAACCCCCCCCCCTCCCAACTAACGCTATCTCTCTCTCTCTCTCTCACACTCACACACACACACACACACACACACACACACCTACCTCCATCTGCTGCCCCAGCCGCTCCGTTTATCCCCTCTTAAACTCCCTCACCCCGCCAACCTGCGCCCCCCTCGCCTTCCCATCGGCCCCCTCATCTCTCCGCCTCATCGTCTGTGTGCTGACAGGTCAATGTCACAGCGGTGCTGACTTATGGGCTGTGAGGATTCTGCCCTGTCAGGAACGACTTTCTCCTCTTGGAATACAAATGCAAACACACAGACACACACACACACACACACACTCACAGAGTCAGGTGCACACATGCAAGCACTCCCGCACATACCTGTTGGAGCTCGCCAGAATTCATATATAAGCACCAACATCTAACTCAAACACACATCATGTTCTGTTCCTGTTGCATTTAATCCTCAGTAGTAAGAGGAAGAGTGTAACAAAGGAATCTAGATGGACGCGATTGATCAGCTACTTTCAGTTTATCACAGATATATGTGTATATATATATATATATATATATATACACTCAGTATATATATATATCAGTATCTATGTTGACGGTTACAAAAAGTCAAAGCTTCATGTCTTACAGCTGCATTCTCTCTAGTGTCCACCAGGGGGCGACTCCTCTGGTTGTATAGAAGTCTATGAGAAAATGACTCTACTTCTCTCTTGATTTATTACCTCAGTAAACATTGTAAACATGAGTTTATGGTCTCAATCTCTAGTTTCAAGTCTTCTTCAATACGTTCAAACGTGTTGTGATGTGTTTTTGTGCTTTTTACGACCATTTTAGCAATTTACAATACAATAAGATTACAGATGTCGGCTTTAAAATTAAGAAAAGTATGAGCTCAGCAATGTGTGTGTGTGTGTATGTTCACCTGGCATAGCAGATTGCGGAGGCAGTTAACTTCCTTCTGCAGGTCTTTGGTCTGGACCACCAGCTGGTTGCAGACGGCCTGGGCCTCCCCTTTGGGGTCCAGTGAGAAGACGAGCTACACGGAGGACCAGAGAGACGGAGACAAAAAGGTCTAATCTGTAAATATATATATAGCTGGTAACAAAGTAACTGATGCACTCGTATAAGGTAGCCGGTCTCATCCAGGCGGAAACCTCCGGTTCTGCGGAAATTCTCTCTCCTGACTCTCTACCAGAGACGTACACGGCGTCTCTACGTGCGTCGACACCTGAACGGTAAACCTTAAAGCAGCACGACACCACAGACAGACGAACGGACCTGAGAGGCATGGTGAGGAAAGCGTCCGATGACGTCCTGGATGGTCTCCGTCAGGTAGCAGCACTGATGCCTCACGCTGACCAGGAAGTTATGCAGCTCCTCACTCCTGCAAAACATGAGCATCGTATATATCTGATTTAACAAACGACAACGCATAAAATAATCATTTTTTTAAGATGTATTCTTTTAAGATGTATTCACACTCGCTCCTTTTCTTTTAGGTGTCCAGAAAACTCTGTTGGAGCTTTTAGACGACGTCCGACATTAAGAGAAAATGAGGCGAAGCCTGCTGAAGATGCCCGGCGGTGACGGGGCAGACAGATGGATCGTTTGGTGAGGTGGTCTCCGAGGGAATGCACGGAGAATGTTAACACCAAGTTTGGTCCAAACTATAGAAAACTGAGCAGGTGGCCGAGCCCCCCCCCCCCCCCGTCACCCTCCCTGTGCTGATAGTTATTTATATTCATCAGCCTCTCTCTTCCCATCCCCTGGTCCGGTGGGATATTGATAGCCCTTATCTTAATGGTACATTTCCCTCGGTGAGGGGGAACCGGGCAGCCAGCCGCCACGGCCCTCCTCACACTCTGTCAGAGGGCCGAGTAAACACTGTCAGTCAGCCGGAGCTGCTGTTAGTTTATCTAGGCAGCGGAGAGTGATGATGGGCCCCTGGTGGGAAGATTTGCTGAAGGGATCGGAGGACGTTACGTGATGTGGGAATGCTCGCGGAGGATGCCGCTTTGTTGCGAGCATTTTTTATGTCTTTTGATATACGGGGAAATACCTGCTCGTTTCCAGCAGCAAGTGCCTTGCTCAGTGGCAGCTGCTGAGGAGAGTGATGCACATTTACTTTCACTTTCTTTTGGAGGTTAGCACGATTGTTTAGCACGATTATTCTTTGATTTTAGGGACTTAGCACTGCTTTCACGTTGTGCTACACTCTTGCTAATGTTCAAACCTTTGCCTCTAAAATAAGACTGTTCTTTATTCACAGTGCATCTCTTAGAACACATTTCATCCAACATTAAATCAACAGAGCACTGATCCACGTTACAATCCTTCTAATGTACAAATCTTTGCGTCAACAAAAATATCATCTTTCTGCTCTCTGCTAAAGCGAAGAACATACAGTTCATCACTCTTCTACTCTGGACTGTGTTCGTAACGCTCGGTGAAGTTGTTCCACAGACTGCCGCGGTGGTGTGCGTGGGCAACCTCGTGACACCTCCGGCGAAAAGTGAAGCCAAACCATTTGGATCGTCCCCCTGATGGCTGGCTGTTAATTTAGGAAGCTCCTGATTTGATACGCAGCAGCAGCAGCAGCAGCAGAGGCTTTTATGTTTGAGCGCAGCATTTTAAAAACGCCAATATCGCAGTCGATCACGTTCATGTAATTTCAGAAAGCCTAAATCATGATCGCGATGAATAAACAAAAGCATCCTCTCTGCCACATGGCAGTTGGAGTCAGGAGCTCCTAATGTTGCCTCTTCCACCTCCCAAAATGTCCCCGGTCAAGGCCCTTGACTGAGTCGCCTGACGTCTTTGAGATCAAACAGAAGTCCGTCTTCATGACCTCCATAAACTCCTCCAGCACCCTGCTTTCTGCTTCTACGGGCGCTGCAAAGCTGCACCGTGTTGGGCCCGTCTGTTGATACTCAGCTACGTCTTTAGCTTTAAGCTTTTGGGGTTTCCGTCCTCACGAGCAGGCTTTGGACTTGCTCTGGGATTCAGGAAACATGCAGCGTTGAATTGCTGCAAAGTGGCATTTTAACAATGACCGGACAGATGTTTCTGTTTCTGCACATTGCAGGTCATTATAGTCTTCAATAAATACATTTCTGACTGCATTAGTAAGTCACATTTCATTGCAACAATTACTCCAGGCCTTCATGTATTTCCCCACAGGTCACCGACGTGTCAAGAAAATGTTTTTAAGACTAATTTCCTACTATTTTCGAGTGTGAAAAACCAGGACCCTGAAGGAGCTCTTTAGGAGGTTTCTGGCTCTGATGAAGACATCCATCCCTCTCATTAACCGTCCTCTCTCTCTCTCTCTCTCTCTCTCTCTCTCTGACCGTGTCTCATCCGGCTGCAGCTCTGCAGAGCATTCATGAAGTGATGGGGTGCGGTGCGACGGCTTTGTTTGGCCCCTGCCGCTGGCTCTCCTTCGCCCCGGTGCAACTCTCCCATCTCCTCTCACCTTACAAATCATTACGGCTCCGCTTAAACCATTAGGACGCGGCTCGGGGGCTCGGCTACGGAGATGGGGGGGGAGGGTATGGAGCACAGACAGCGAGATGCTCACGGGGCTGATGGACGACTTCCAGTGGAGGAGGACAGATGGAGCATTACGGGGAGATGGAGGAGGGCTGGATGCGGGGGAGGGTTTAAGGTGTGTGGCTGACAAGTGTTTAAAGTTTTGCTACTATAGTCAACTTTGAGTGTTTGTGGAATACTTGTTTTTGCAGCTGACAGCTTATCTCCATCTTATTTCCAGCGGACCGAAACTTAAGATTTTCAAATACTGTAAAGTCTGTCAAACACCTTTTGACAAAGTGTCTGTCAGGCACCACCGGTGATGTTTGGGCTGTGCTGCAGGAGAGGGAGAGGGTGCAGAGAACGAAGCCTCTGATCAGATTATCAGTCGTGATGCTCCGTCTAAGGGAGCGACGGATCATAAAACGGTATCGTATCAACGTTCTGAGTCACAGATCAGCACAAAGGAAAAAAAGGAGCAAATGTAACGTTTAAAGATCCCGATCATGGTTCTTTGCCGCTGATACCAATTGCCGATCATCGACGATCCATATTGACCGATACAGATCCTTCTTGTTTTGTGTTGTTTAACCAGCAGGTAAATGAGGCTCCAGAATATATTTTTTTATTCATAACCGTCCCAAAAATCATGTCAACAATCAGTCTAAACCATCAAAAAATAAACTTTAGTTTACATATAATTATAAGTTATTATAAATATCTTTATTGATAAAAACATCTTGTCATCGCTAGTTTTAATGATGTATGATAACCTGCTTGGAACTAGTTTCTAATTTCTATTTTACATCGCTGTGAAAACATCTACTTCAAACAACTACATGTTCTCATTTTATAGGCCTACAACTGAACACATCACGACAACATTTTAATTCACTCATTTTCACTGAAGAGCCTGAACGCACCATAATGTCACTGAGTAGAACCGTGTCTTATAAAACGATCAGCGATTGGTGACTAGAGGGTATTAATGCCGACGTCCTGATCTCATATTTTAACTTAATCTAAGCCGATTATCTCACACTGACGGTTGAACTGTGCAGTTAATCAGCGGTTCACATGCGTGTCAACACCTAAAACTAACTCACATTTGTACGGTTATCGCTCCGAGACAGTCTTGTGTTGAGTACCGGTGTTTGACTGATGAGATGTGGTTCCCTACCCGCTTTCTACGGCTCCCGGCAGGCTGATTGTGTCAAAGTCCACTTTGTCCAGGTGCATCTGCTTCACAGCGCTCAGCACCTTCTGCTGGTCCTCTGGGTCTGTGATACCGACCTGACAAACGGATTATTAATTAATCAACTTAAATCTCTTCTCTTGATACATTTACCTGTGTTCTTTGGCTGTTTGCTACATGATGCTTTGAGATTCAACCCGATGCAGAGGTGTGATGTTCTTCCATGTTTGTCTGTAGTTCACAATCAAGTTTGTTTCATGTCTGACGAGCTTCTGGACTGGAATTCCACATTAAGCTCTGAGAGTTGTTATCAATTCAAAATTTCCGTTGTAATAATGACCTAGATAAACACTTTCACTCGTCACGCCGGTGCACCTGACATTCAGCAGCTCTAGTGACAACCCGACCTTAAAACATACCCGTAATCCAAAAGTGTTGATTGTTTTTTATTGTCAAGAACAATGACTCCTGTCCCCGACACCTGAAAGGCCGAGCCTAGACCCGACATCATCGGGGAGGTGACACTGTATATTTAATATCAGACAACTTCTCTGCTTCGATCGCTAACAGCTGTCTGCTCTGAGCACATCCACACTCTCTCTCTCTCTCTCTCTGGACCACACACTCGCTCCTCTTACACCGTCCTCACATATATGCAGACATGTGGACCGCACTTGAACTCGGCTTTGGCCATTTTCACACGGGAGCAACTCCTGACCACCAGGGGGCGACTCCTCTGGTTGTATAGAAGTCTATGAGAAAATGACTCTACTTCTCTCTTGATTTATTAAGTCAGTAAACATTGTAAACATGAGTTTATGGTCTCAATCTCTAGTTTCAAGTCTTCTTCAATACAGCATGATGTTCATTTAGTAACTTATGGTCCATTTAGAGTCAAACAGACCATAAAGCAGGGGATGCTTTAGGGCGGGGCTACTGTGATTGACAGGTCTCTACCGCTACCAGAGATGTATACGGCGTCTCTACGTCACTCCTCATTCTAAAAAAGCAAACCATTAATCGGTTGCAAAAAGCCAAGATGGCGCCGGCTGTATTCAATGCAAGTTTTAAGCACAAAAGTAACGCTTAGAATTATTGTGGTGCCAAAAGGCACAGTAACAATATTTTAGGTGCACCTAAATGAAAAGGTTAGTCTGGATCTCTGTAATGGCCCAAAAGTGGGAAACCAGACAAACTCATTTTCCGCTTTGTGCAGATTTGAGGACTCCCAAGTTTACAGAAATACAATTGAACGAATGATCCCAGAATACGCTGCGAACAAAGATCATCAGTTCAATCTCTCACCACCTTTCTACAGAAGTCATCAGTAGTCATCGTCTCTTGGCACTGAGCAGAAGAGCTGACAGACAAACAGACGTTACAGTTATCACCTACCTTCTCCAGGTCCTCCTCCTCCTCCATGGTCAACAGGTAGCTCCAGGTGATGTCATGCTCCTGTGCATGTGTGTGTGTGTGTGGGGAAGGAGGGGGGGAAAAAGTAAAGTGAAGTTTACCGAATCAAAACTTTCTGCAGCTGAAACAGATGTACCTGCATGAGGCAACAATCTACCTGCACCCATCAAACCCAGTGCTCGCATGTCAGGCTTGAGCTGAGCTTGAGCCAATCCGGCACACTGGATCCATTATGAGTAAAATATGTAAACCGGTCGTCTCATGACATGTTCCCAAGCATGTGAATGTGATTCTGCCAATAACGCAGCTGTAGGGATCGCTGTATCTCACCCATAGATGTAATACTGTGTGGTTCACCGGCGCGTTATCTCGGCTCATGATCTTGGCATCGGAGATCTCTCACATTTTGTGCTTTGTACGTGTTTGATGAAATGTTATTGCAGCATGAAAATAGGTACTTACAGCCATGATGTCAGTGAGGTAGCCGAGATCGAGGCCGTGTAGGAGGAGCTCGAGGTCGTCCAGCTTGGTTACACTGAAGAGCAGAGATTTATAGGACTTATAATATCTATAATTTACAGCATGAACTCAAGTACGATCCAGCTGGGACTAGAATTGCACTAAAACTGCACTGATGTTGACAAGTTTTAATGTTCCAATCTCCAAGAGTTGGTTAAAGAATTTGAGAAATATGCTTATTCTAGTTTTTATGTTCTCTGTCTCCTTTGGGTGTCATTGAGTTCAGACACATCAGAGCACCCTCAGCTCCAGTTTCACTATTGACACAACGAGCTTCACACACGAGCCCCTCTTCTCACGACGTTCGAAGCGTGTGGGATAAGTTCCTGGGGTTAGAACGTCTTTAAACACGAGAGAAAAGCAGCCAGAATAGCCGTCAGTCTGTGATTCCGGGTGCCAGACGTGCTCCAACACAATGCTTTTGGCTGACGGTTGTGGCCCAGCTGTGCCTGAAGAAGACTAAACACTCACGCAGGAGGTTTATTGTTGTTTACGTCTGGTTGAAGGATGGTTCAACAACACCTGCTGCACAGGCGCTGCTGCTGCTCCGGCAATCCAACAGAGGGCGACAAACACACACACACACAAACGCACAACTGCGGCCCTGACAGCAGGTCTGGGGTCGTCTTTACCTTTCCTTTGAAGGTAGCGGTGCAGAGTTGGTCTTGAAGAACTTTGAGAGGGTCTCCTCCATGGAGCTGAAGGCCTGGACGGTGGAGATCTGGGACGGAGACGCCAGAATCCTGACTATCTGTGAACAGACGCTGGCGTAAGGATGCTATTTAATTCAGCAGTGGGAATCTTCTCAGACACTTGTTCTGAAACGCATCATAGAATGAGCTCGGGTACCTGTGTGTGTTTGAAAGCCACAGCCAGGTCTGCAGGGCTCTTGCCAGCCTTGGTCCTTAAAGTTTTGTTCGCTCCCAGCTGGAGGAGCTTCAGCACGGCCTCCTCTCTGCCGTACTGCACCGCCACCGACAGAGCCTGGTGGAGAACATCAGTGTGACTTCATCGTTCGTGGGGTAACGGACCGCCGTCGATCCGTACGGATGCGTTTCTAGTCTCTGATCTCTGATAATGTTTCATTGTAAACAACCAATCAGTGTTTAAACCAACAAGAGGAGAGCTAGTAACGTTAGCAGCACCGCTAACGCTAACGAATGAAGGTTCAGTTCAGTTACATTATGATGCCTTCAGGCTCTGCTCAGTGAAAATGAGTTTTGGCTGCAGGTAAATTATAACGTTATCATGATGTGTTCACATGTAATCTCTTGAAATCTTTTATGTCCTTATCATAACATGAAGACTATTTGATGGTTGCTGACTTCAGAGCGGTTGAAAGTCTGGATCCTTGTAGACCAGCTGCTATAATCAAACAACAAATGTGTATCTGCCCATTTGGATCATCAATTAGTATCAGTGGCAATAAAACGTGATCATGGATCTCTAAAAGTCTAAAACCCTTCAGTCCAAAGAGAGTTTTGTTGTGAAACGTCTCAGACACATTCCTTCTTTGTGATTTCAGAGCTTCAGCGTAGATCTGACGAAGATAAAGTTTGACGCACCGAGTACCCGTTGACATCCTGGACGTTGACGTCTGCCCCGTGAGACACCAGCAGGTTGATGACCTTACTGTAGCCGGACCTGGCCGTCAGCATCAGGCAGGTCATTTGAGACCTGAGCAGATGAAGAGGAGGAAAACGGAGACGTGACATGAGTGGTGATGATGATGAAGGTACAGAGAAACCACCAGGGGGCAGCACACATCACTTTATAGGGAGCCATTGACTGTGACAATGCAAAGAAACGACGTTTGAGTAACTAGTAACACCTGTAGGCCTGAGATGTTGCTCTCAAAAGATTCAAGTAGAACCAAAACAATTCATGTATTAATTACAATAATAACTTTATTTATATTTATTATATAGCACATTTAAGTTCTTTGACAGACAAAAGCTGCAGAAGCAAAGCAATAAAACAACAGAAAGCTCCACTGTGAGGACAAAGGAAGGAAGTCATATTTCAACCCTGATAAAACAATACAATAGATGAAACATAAAAACAATCAATATGATAAAAACACTAAGAAATCTAATTAATTCTCTGGTTCTAGGTTTTCTAACTGTTGCTTTTCTTTGTCTTCAGATAGTAAACTGAACATCTTGAATGCATGAAACACAAATGTCAAAATGTGTTTGTGAATCTTTATATAAATAAATAACAATACTTTTTTATCACAATTTCAAACAGTCTGAAACTCAGGATACGTGAAGTTCATATTTATATTTACTGACGTTATCCCTCCGGTATAATGAACACAGGCATATCTATATCTATCTATCTATCTATCTATCTATCTATCTATCTATCTATCTATCTAGATAGATAGATAGATAGATAGATAGATAGATAGATAGATAGATAGATCATATTTACAAATACCTCTTGCCGAGGTGTGAGTGGGTCTCCATACTGCGTAGCGACATGAGCCTCTTAATTTGCACCCAAAAAACTTGAATATATAATTTTTACTTTTTATTATTTACAGCAAGTTTCGCACGGGATAAAGATCAAATATCACGAACAGGAGTCAGTTACAGTTACCATCGATTCACATGGAGACTAAAAGTCACATTAAGAGCTTCTCCTTCCATGAAGTACTTCTGTGTTGCAAAACCATCTCATCGTATCGTAGTGTTTTGCTATTTATTTACAAAGCAACTGTTTGGAGCATTCTGGATCAATAATGAAAGAGGTGGGATTACGCTGCAGGAGAAGTTTATACGGACATTCTGATTTGTTTCTTCTGTGAAGGAACGAGCTACAAAAACTTCATGACCGTGTTCCTGAGTATTCCTTTAAGCACAACAACACAGATGCATGCAGGGCAATCTACTGTAGTGGGTACGAATGTTTAAACATGTCGTTCAACAGCCACCGGCGTGTCAAATGGTTTTAACGTTGACCTTCTCTGTTGGCTTCATGTGTTTGCTTCTGTCTGACAGAAGGCTGTTCATAAATAAGCTGCTACAGTTCGTCGGTATCTTATCACCTCGGACTCAAACACGGCGACTGGGGGGGGGGGGGGGCAATTAATCACTCCACTTCAAGCTTTTACAGGAAAACGTTTGTGTGTGAGAACAACACAGCAAGAGGGAAAGAGGAGGCATTTAAACCTTACCTGGTGACTTTCAGACAAACGTAAATGGCTGGCAGAGATAACAAAGGCCGGTGATGATTGTCTAAAATTGGCGGACAGTGTCTTTAGCCTAACTTAGCTGACGTTACTTGTTTCACTATGTTAGACTAACGCAGAGAACTGCAACGGTTCTTACCAAACTCCTCGACATCGTTGTCGAAAGGAATTTAAAGGACAGCTTAGAGACACCATTGTGTATAAAGTCCATAAATAATAACTGATTGGGTCTTTAACACAGTAATATAATAAAGTGAGCCTATGTCCACCCACTGCATAGTTTACAACTACAATGTAGAGTAGTTTTAAGCACTAGAATTACGGCCTCGCAGTTGTTGGCCTCCGTTAACTAGTCAAGTTGCAACTTCATCATTTTATCATTAGAGCGTGTTCATTCTGCTGCATTGATGCATTTCATCACAGTACAGTCGTATCATTTAGTTTATAGCTAAATAAAACACAGTTAAGTGTGAAGTTACTCTGTAAGGATTTAGATTTTGTGCATGAGACGGTCGGGGAAAGAGACTATTTAAAGAGTGTATTTGCAATATTTCATAACAAAATGTATAAGTATGCTTTTTAAAAATGACATTTAAAGCATTTCAGATTCACCAAACTGATAAAAACATACGTCTAATGCAAAAATCCTGTAAATCCAGGAAGCAGACAAATCTCACGCAGTATATGGTGATATGACCCGACAGTCAGAGAGTGGAGACGGACTGCTGTGTCCGTATTGATGTTGACTTTTGTACCAATACATTAACTTGAACTGACTCTGCTCCCACACGGAGGGGATGTTTGTCAAACAGCTGTGAATCTGAACCTCCGTCTATGAATTACAAGACATCCACCGATAATGTTTCATGTGAAGCCAAACAAATGAATCGATGGCTGTGACGCGTCATGACAATTCATTTATTGCCCCCCCACCACCCATCAGCCGATTCCTCTTTGACCGGCAGAACGGGATAGTTAGAGTCATTTCTGCTTTCATGTCCTGCACGACTGCATTCTCCCAAGGCCTGTTGACGAGTACCACGGTCACTCTCATACTGTGTGTGTGTGTGTGTGTGTGTGTCCTTCAGACTGTGAGATCTGGCCGGTCCCCAAACAGACCGACAGCTGATACACCACTTTGCCCAATACAACCAGAGATAAAGAAATTGCTTCCTCAGTTAGTTACAGTTGGGCCATCGTTTCTATTTTCATATTGTCAAATCAATGTCGATTTTTAAAGTTTTTGATTTTAGTCACACCAAGTTTTTAGGGATTCTAATCTCAAAGGTCAACTCTCCCCACACTCAAAGTCTAAATCGAGTCCTGAGTCTTAAGTCTAGACCTGCGTGTGTGGTCCTGACTCAGTGTTTCCAATATTATTTGTAGGAGGTTTTACATTTTGCTGAGAGACAGACATGACACAGCTGCTGTATGGTGAGTATTGATATCCTTCTTATCAAAGCGCGGGCCTTCTTCACGTCTCAAAGCAGAAACTAAGAGAAGTCTAAACTGGAATTATGCAGTAAACTGATCGAGGAAATGAATCACGTAAACCCAAAATCTGTAAAAGTATAAAAGCCCCGCGAACGTCTTGGATCTACCGTGTGCACGTTCATCTCCTGCGTGTGCAGCCCGGAGAAGCATGTTGGGATCAGAACATAAGAAAGAGGAGGAGGACACATGGAGGCAATGGACCCCACATCGTGCTCCTGCAGGACTTTGAGACACGACAGAGACTTCTTGTTTACACAACAACGGAGGGATGAGCAGCTGGTGTTCATCATCGATTTGATATTCAGACGTAAGAGGTGAGGAGGGGGAGGAGGAGGTTTACACTCTGCACCCACATGAACCTCATGCTCCTCTTGCTGTGCTCTGGATGTTTAGGAGCTGTTGGCCCCTCCTCCTCCTCCTCCTCCTCCTCCTCCTCCTCCTCCTATCTGCATCCTCCTGCGTCTTGTTACCTCGCTTCAAATATTTTGTCTGGGAAGGAACCAATCAGATTTCGGGCCGCGAGTGCCGTGCATGTAACGGCACGCTGGCAGTGACAGAGTGGCAGTGGGATTAGGGACGGCTAAACAAGGAAGCCACTGGGGGGGGGGGGGGGCATCCTCCCTTTGACACGGAAAACATCCACAGATGGTAGAAGTGCTGCAAGTACGACCTCCCTTCATTCCTTTACACGACAGGGAATTCTTCTTGTTCCTCACCAGGACAGGGAACCAGATTTGATATCAACTCGTTGCACTTTATGGATCCCAAAACGCACCGTCGGTGTGTTTTAAAGTGTCACTCTTCCATCATCACAGATGCTTTTGTCAGTTGAATCGGTTTGCACATTCGTGATGTTGTTGAAAGTCTAATTCCCCCCCACACACACGTGCAGCGTTGTCTGTTTAAACATCACTAATGCAACAGATGTGTATATTTTAGGGAGCACATTTAGCCGCCTGCGGTCCCTTTTCTTTATATGTTAAAAGTTGTTGCCAAAGGCCAAGAATTGGTTGCCAACTTCTCAAAATTACAGCCGCGCCATGTTGTGTGGATTCAACGGACGGATGCTTAAAGTTACTACTTACGCGTCGCTGCGCTGATATTTTGTGTCTGTACATGTTGATCCGAGTTCTTCCCCAGATGTTCTTGTTCGTTTCTATTCTGTCTGCTCCCGTCATTAGTGATTCCTGGACATTGTTGCTGGACGTTTAACTCATGTTTGCAGGTAAGAAAATTAGTTTCAGAGAGCAGATTCACTTTAAGATGATTGTTAAAAGGACACAGGAAGGTAGTGTATAATTTTACATAAATAACTCCTCCAAGGCCGTGAAAACAAACGAGACCCGTGATTCAGATCTGCTCTAGAATGTAATGGATGCTTTCTTTGCCGATGCTAAAGCCTTCCACCGACTTTCATTAAAAACAAACAAACAAACTAAACTGAAAACATGTGTTTTGATGGATAAGCTGATTGCTGGTGGTTAAACGTGGACTTGGCAATGTGTCAAATGACATCTGAAAATCCAGATTAAAACGATTATATTTCAATAATAAATGCTGTTGAAGCCATTGTGTTATGAAGACATTTTACATATTTTACTTTTGTTCTGTAACCTTTTGACCATTCTTACTGGACTCCATCCAAGCTTCTAACCCCCCCCTCACACTCTGTGTTTGTTTGTCTGTCTGTCTGATACCCGTCTGTACATGCACATGCCATAACAGGACATTCCAAACACAACACACACACACACACTGTATAGAGAGCTGCGGTGCATAATGCTAACACATGGCAGCTAACGAGAACCATCAAAGGAAATGTGATCCAGCACCTCACGTCTGGAGTGTTTTTATTTGGCCGACATCAACAGGGGTGTGACAGTGCATACTGTGCCGAGAGTCCTATAAACATTTTGACCCGAAACATATCTGCACCCCCCCCTCACCTGTCCACCATGTTGGGATCAGCATTTCTGGATAGCAGGATCTCCACACAGCGCGCGGTTTTGTCTTCACTGACAGATGCCGTACAGCTGGCCATGAGCACCGTCCAATGATCTGTGGACAAGAACACACCAATGAGGAAATGCATCATCACAATATTAACATTTAATTATGTTTACTGGCGAGATGAAATGTCTTTTTAGATCACATCCTCGGTCGTATTCTGCACCTATTTAAAAATCAGTTTCTTCGTATTTTTATGCCAAAATCTAATCATCTTTTCTTCTTGTTAACTCTTTGCACGCGTACAAAGTATGACGAGTGCTGATGTAAGATAGTATCAACCAATAATATCATGACATCCATCATCAAACTGCAACAAGGGAGCTCCTCTGTAGCTCCGTATCATGCTACACTCTAAGCCCGCCCACTTCTTAACAGTCCAATCAAATGCAGATTTTATTTTAAATCTCTCTTGTATCGGTACACCGCTCTATTATATCCTGTTTCACTGCTGAATAGAAGCTTAAGACGCTCTAACTTCCGTTTCACTTCATTTGACTCTAAACTAACACTTAGCTTAGCACAAATTGGAAAAACATAATTCATAAAAGCTAACAAGTTTGGCCCTTAGATTACTTTTGAACACATCATGATAAAGTTAAAAATGACTTTCGCCGAACACTCATTTTTACTGAACAGAGCTTGAACGCATCATAATGAAACTTTCGTTAACGTTCGCCGTCAACTCCGCAGGACTGTGCAGCCCTAACGGCTAACGTTAACTAGCTCCCGTCCTGCAAGATTTCAACACGAATCTGCTGTTCACAAAGCAGCGTCATCGGGACAAAAGTAAGGTGCGTCCACGTGTCATATTGAGGGTTTACTGCGTCCTTTCAGAGTTTAAAAAAGAGGGACGAACAGTCAAATCTTCCTATTAAACAGCAAAATCCCATTTAAAATGTCTGTAAATATAAAGAAAAGTATAAAATCCTCATTATTTGTAATCATAATTACACTTAATAAACTATTTAGCAAAACAAATCAGAGCAAAGAGGAGTGCCTTTGTCTTTGTTTAAACACACTGCAGTCACACATCGTGTTGTGATAAGGAAAAGAATAACGAATCTGGTGATGGAGATGGATAGCCGTTCATTTATCTGGCATCAGGAAGTGTGGCGGCCTTTATGGGACCGAGGGAGCTTCCTTATCTTCTCCTGATAACACCGGTCTGAGGCCCATGGCTATGCACTCCATTCCTGTTTGGTTTCACCAATGACTGAGTCTCCAACATGTGGGTATCACGGCATCTATAAGAGTGTGTGTGTGTGTGTGTGTGTGTGTGTGTGTGTGTGTGTG